TATTAAATATAAAAATAACAATATACACATTACTTGATAACTTACTTTAAATGATAGGTGGATGGATGAACATGCACACATGCACACACGCTCAAACCAGACTATCATTACACTCACAGACGTGTGCACACCCACTCTGGCTCACACACACAGACACATATAAAACATTTCTAGGTGGGATCACTTCCATGGCAGCAAGCTATCCCAGAGACTGGACACACCCTAGCCACACAGGCATCTCCCTCTGATGAACACTTGGGAGTACCCCAGCTGTCGCCCTCCCATACCCCCCTCCCTAGGGAGCAGGTGGTGAGATTCACCGACCTCGCTCCATCTCAGCCTGGGTTGCTTACAGAATCCTCTGGGAAGATTTTACAAACACAGATGTCCAGTCACCACCACACACCCATGATACTTCCCTGGTGGTGGGGCCTGGGAATCAGGAGGTCTGCAGCCTCTAGAGATTCTGTAGGCAGAGCAGATGGAGGACCACTGCCCTACGAGCCTTCTCAGGGCCAGGGTTCTATGGGCCTCCACAGAGAAGTCCACTGGGAGGGGAACACTGCAGGTGATGGGGAGAGCAGCAGGCTTGTTCCAGGTGGCATGAGATGGAATGTCTTCCCTTGATGAGGGGCTAAACCTCTGTGCTCATAGGTCTCCTGGGTGCACAAGGAGGACAGTGGCAATCAGGCCCCCTCCCCAAGGTGGCACAGGGCAACTGAGAAGAACTATCTCCCCCACGAGCTCAAAGATGTCCACCTGTGCCTCGCCCACTGTCCCGGACCCTCGGCTGAAAGGCCCCTGGTGGGATTCTTTGAGCTCCTCCAGCTGCTGGATTCAGTTGTTATCTTGTTACTTGGACCTTGGGATGGAAAGAGGGCCACGCCTGGATGCTCATGTTAGAATTTCAACTTGACATTCCTTCCTGGTCCATAGAGAACTTACTGATTGTACTAGTTCTGGGGCTGCTATTACAAAGCACACAGACTGGGCAGCTTAAACAGCAGAAACGTATTGTCTCATGGTTATCAGGCCTGCAGTCCCAGATCTAGGTGTCCACAGGGTTGGTTCCTTCTGAGACTGTGAGGGAGATTCCATTCCATGATCTTTCCCCTGGCTTCTGGTGGTTTTCTAGCCATCTTTGGCATTCCTTGGCATGTAAAGGCATCACCCAATCCTTGCCTTCCATGTTCACATGGCATTCTCCCTGTGTGTATGCCTGATCCACAATTCACTCAGCACTCATGAGCAAACCCAGCTAAGATCAGCAAGCCTGGTCTGCACCACTAGGTAACCAACCAGCATATAGTCCTTGAGCAAAAAGAAATGGTTCTCATTTTAAGTTATGGGGTGTTTTCTTGTGTAGGGATAGCTAGCAGATATACCCACCTTCAACACCGATTTTACCTGTGGAATCATTAGAAGCAAATATGTTTAGCAGAAGCCGGTGTAATTCTGGACCAGACGACACAAGGGAACAAATGCTGAGTCTTATTAATCAAGGTTTCCAAGTGGTGGATCTTCTGGCACTGGTTACCTTACGAACAGCTTCAGCACTGGGGGGGATCAGGGACCTCACTGCAGGAGGGGGTGTCAATTACCAACAATACTAATAACAAACAGTTAATGAATACTAATGATTATAATACATCTATCATATTATTTTAATACTAAGTGATTATATTTTATATAATGATAGAAAGTATTATTATTATTTGAGATAAATTTCTATGTGTTTAACAGGAAAGAGCTTACACAAGCCAGATTTTGAATTCAGGAATCCACTATTGTTTGTCCTCCTTGGTTCCCAATTTTCCTTTCTTCCTTTTCCTAAGAAAAGTCAAGTCTCAACGTGGAGGAACCCAGGTTCTAGAGTGTAGCCAGGAACAGAACCAGCATCAGAATCAGCGAGCTGATTGCTGTCTGGTTAGGTCTGAGGCATCTGGGGCCACAGATTGAGGGCGTGTAACCCTGTTGGCCCTGGGAGCTGAGGGGCTCAGGTTCAGCCAGGACCATACGGGATGTCAAGGAAACACAGGGGCTGTGTTATGCCTAGCCAACAAGTTCGGAAGAGCATTCTTCCAGGATGGCCTGATTCCTAAAGTTGTACTAAGTCAGGCTTCATGGCAAGTTCTAAGTTTCACAGAATCCATAAGACACATTGCCCTGTCCTAACCTTTCCCTTTAGGAATTCAAATTTTCTTGCATCAAAAATTTCCTTTTTTTGTTTCTTAATATGCTATTTTTCACACTGTAGAGGTATTCTTTCCACTTTTAAGCCTGTCAACCACTTTTTGGGAAACTGTTATGGGGCCTGGCCCAGTCCGACCTCCCATGGGTCAGGGAACAGTGCTCTTACCCCACTCACCTGGGAAGCCGAGGGCAAGTCCAGGTTGTCACCTGTGCCTATGACCCACCAGCAATAGATGGGAGAGTCCTACAACCCCCTCCTTGGGTTACATTCATTTGATAGACTGGCTCACAGAACTCAGGGAAACATTTTACTTACCAGATTACTTGTTTATTACAAAAGGATATAACTCAGGAACAGCCATATGAAACAGATACTTAGGGCAGGTATGGGGAAGGGTGTGGGGTTTCCATGCCCTCTCCAGGCACCACTCTCCCCTAAACTCCACCTGTTCACCAACCTGGAAGCTCTGAGTCTGGTCCTTTTGGGTTTTTATGGAGGCTTCATTACATAGGCCTGCTTGATTAAATCATTGATCAACCTCCAACTGATTCAACCTCCAGCCCCTCTTCCCTACCTGGAGGTCAGGGGATGGCAATGAAAGTTCCAACCCTCTAATAACACGGTTGGGTCCCTTGGCAACTGGTCTCAATTTTGGTGCAAAGTCAGCTCATTAACATAACAAAATACACCTTTATTGCTCTCTGCACTCAGGAAATTCCAAGTTTGGAGAGCTCTGTGCTAGATATTGGAGGAAGACCAAATATATACATCTTATTATAAATCACAAATGGGTTCCACGTGTTCTATGGCCGTTATATACCTTGTCCACCAGTTTCCTTCACCTCAGCCCGCAACCTGTCCCCCGGGCTGGAGTTTGCCCTCTATCTGAGTCACTCAGAGCACTGAATTCAGTGAACAGCTAAAAAAACTGGAAAACGTTCATCCCTGTAAAGGATATTGTTTCTTTCTTCACAATGGAAAGATTCATTTTGGTTGTATTCAAAAAGGGAAAAAACATTCCTAAAAGTGAACCCTTTTATACCAGCTATCCTTCTTTCATTTCATCTGTTGAACTTATAAAAAGAGAGCCCCTGGGTGTCCTCATGTGATCGTAAGTAAGAGTTGGAAAATCTGATCCCCTTGCAGGCCACATTCAACACAATCAGAGATAATTAGAGACCCTCGTTTACCAAGCATGCAACGCCCTGAACTCAGGACACAAGGACCCTCTGCCTACTGCAGAACCTTTGCCAGCCTCCAGTCTGGCGGACACTAATCAGGAGCTGTGTGCCTGTGCGTGTGGAGCAGGGAGGGGGTTCTAAGGCCACACACACCCCCAGGCAAGCCTTTATGGAAAAATTTCTCCCACTTTTGAAGAGTGTTTTCAAGGAAACAAATATGACAGAGAGATGGAGCAGAAGGCCCTGTGCAGCCAGAGGGTCCCACTGTCCCTGCCCAGGCTGCCTGGTGCTGCAGGGCTGCCAGAAGCAAGCGGCACCTACAGGTTCAGGGCGAGCTGGGCAAAGGAGGCCTGAGACCGCTGCCACCAGTTTCCTCTCCATCCTTTACAAAATGTGCAAAACCGGCCAAGCTGGGCTAAACTGAATAGGAAGGACTCTGGAACCATGAAGCAGGAGCCCAGACTCCTCGGACCTGCAGGAGGGAAGAGGTCAAGGAGGCCAGGAACAGTCAGTGGAGCAGAGTGGTCTCAGGCGGGACACGTGCCTGAGAACACGCACTGGCACACGTGTGCACTCAAGCTCCAGCGCACACACATGCACGGGGCGGGGGGGACGTGCAAGCCGACACTGATGCGCATTCGCCTACACCCAGCTCATATACGTCCGTGCTCACACTGGAACGCGTGCACGTGCGTTCACACACACATGCCGTCAACAGGTGTAGAACACGAGCTGGGCTTGTAGCCGGGCCGGTGGACGCGCCTCTGCTGCGCCCTCAGACTCCTGGAGCTAGTAGCACAACGGCGCAGTCCCCGACCTGGGCCGGGACCAACCCGCGACCGCAAAGCCTCCGCGATCAATGGCTACACCTAGGCCCCCAGCAGCCCCGGCACAGGCCAGTCAGCTGCTGCCCAGACCCCAGGGCCAGGAGCGCAGCTACATCCCAGGAGGACGAAGCTTCCTCGACCCCCCCTCGTCTCCCATCACTTCGCAGACTCGAGAGAAAAGCACATTCGTGTATACTCAGATCTGCGCATCCCTAAGGAAGTCCGGGCACCCCTGCTTCGCAGCTGATCTCCCCACGGGGCGGGAGGGCGGACCCAGCGGGACCCAGGCGCCGTTCTGCCGCATTCCGGCGGGCGGCAGGTGTCCGGCCATTGGATGCGCCGCTCCGGCCCTCGGGAGTGGGGATCGGGGCGCAGCGCGGCGAGATGCCAGCCAGTGTAGCCGTGCGTGGACTGCAGGTCCGGAGAACAGAGCGGGTGGCCCGACCTGCTGACGCCGCCGACCCTCGCTCGCGGTCCCCTCTCCACCCGCGTGCCCCCGGGACGGACGGCAAGGTGCCGACCGCGGGCCAGCGAACGCCCGGGTTCTCCCCGGTCCTCCTCCCCTCGAGCCTCACCCCGCTGCCCTCTCTCGCGCCTCTGTCGCCCCCCTCCTTTCTCCCCTCGCTTCGTCGCCCTCCCCTCCCCTGCCCTCGCCCTCCCCCTCCCCCGCTCTCCCACGGTGCGGGCGGGTTCTCCGCCACCGCCCCGCCGCCGCGGCCGCCACTCCGCCCCCAGCGCGGCGCGGAGCCGCAGTAATAACCCTGGCGCGGGCGGCGCAGTGACTGCGGGCATCGTCCTGCGCGCCGGTCGGGCTGGTCCTCGGTGCCCGCTTGCACGGTCGCGGGGCTGGGTAGCATCCGCGGCCCCGGGCCCCTGCGAGCGCCCCTGGATGGAGCCGTGCGTCCTCCCCGCGGGGGCGCAGCACCGGCTGCGGGCGCAGGGCGCGCAGGGCAGCCCGGCCATGCTGGCCCCCGGCTGCGCGGCGCTCTGCCTGCTGCTGCTGGCTCAGGTGGGTGTGCAGGTGAGTCCCCGACTGCGGGGGCAGGGTCCCCAGAAGCTCCCCTCGCGCAGCCCCCGTCTCACCGAGGTGTCGCCGCTGTTTTCCAGCAGGCACCTGCGTGCGCCGTGGGACCCACAGCGGCCTCGCCGGGGAGCCCGAGCGTCCGGCGTCCTCCTGGCCCCGCGGAGTGGCCGGGCTGGGTGGAAAAGGGCGGTAAGTGCGCGAGGGGGGTTCGAATCCTTGCAGTGCAGCAGCTTGCAAACCCTCTAAGGCTAGTTTACCAGGCTCTGCAAATGTTCATAACTCTGGGAATTCTCTGTAAGGTGCTGCCGTGCTTCTTTCCAACCGTAAGAGCGAGCGCCTCTGAGTCAACTTTCACCAATATTTATATTGTTTCCCTGTAAAACAGAAATGGCTTACCAGCGTTATTACCATAAACATTAGGGAAGAAGGCAAGGGAATGTATTTATTTAAAAAACAAAAAAACACACACACACAATTAAAGAAGGAGGAAATAATCTAGGAGTTGTATTAATGTATACACAGCAATTATAAAGAGCTTATTATGCCTTTCTCCATCCCCTCGTCCCCTCCCCCTCCTGTTCCCCCTCTGGCCTTTTAAAATGAACATCCTTCACTGTCAGAGCACGGGACAAAAAGACAGTCATTTTGCTCAGTATTTATCACCTTAGTTTCAAAAGGGAGGTCTTCAAGAGTTGGCAGAATGGGTAATTAGCGTTTTGTGACGTCACAAGCAATGTCCAAGTCCTGTGTCATGATTTGCCAAAAAACAAGTCTGATCTTTCTGCAGTGTGTGGTTTCCCTTTCACTGCTCACAAGCGGCATTTATCATTTCATGCCTCAGGGGATGGACCTCTCTGTCCTGAACTGCTTTTGGGTAAACCGGAAAGCAGGTGTGGAATGTCGGTAGCTACCGGGTTTTTAATCTGAACCCAGTCCACTGGCAGTTGCTAAATATGAGTACTCTGCATCAATTCCAACAATGCATTGCCATCTCAAATGTTATTAGTGACTTACAGAGGAAGAACTAGGTTTTATTATCCCAACCTATTTTCAGAAAACCTAGAAAATTTGAGTTAATAATCAAGAGTTTCTGAGTGTAGTTTCTTCATATTGATAAAATTCCATAAAGACAATCATTTAATATATGCATTAATTATTGAAATTCTCTCCTCCCGAGGGCTGTATGAAGAGTCTATCAATAGTGATCAATCCGATGAATGCGGGAACATAGGAACTTTTCCGCGACCACCAGAGGGCGCTAGATGTAAATAATAGAAAACGTTTAAAAATTACTTGTCACTATGTATTAGCAAGAGAAAGTTATCTATTTAAAGCTCACTTCCTTGGTCTTGCCCTTGTCTTCTTTAATGTTTCTCTTACGATTCATTCTAGTATGTAGTTATTTATATTGTAGTTAGCTGTCTTCTTCCACTTAAAAAAAATTTTGTGAAAATTCTAGTTTTCTAAAATCATGAAAATTCCTGAAGGTCTCAGGAGAATTTTCAGAGTGTTTTCTAGTAGTTATGGGGTTTTCTGTGAGGTAAGAGCATTAGAGATAGAGAACCACTTCCAGGAGGAGAAGCCAAGACTTCCTGCCCGAGGGTGCCCTTCTCCTAGGGAGGAGCGTCCTGCAAGCTGGACTCCAGCCTGGCTGGCATGTGGCTGTAATCACCTGGCACCTCAGCTGGTTTCACAAGCCCAGCGTTCCCATGACAACCACTTAGCTCGCTTGGTCAGAACCTCAGGGGGAAGGTGGGAGCCATCATCGTTGAGGTTCTCACCTAGTGGACATACCACTCCCTCATCCCTCACGGTGCAGGTGTTTTAGGTCTTTAATTACAAAAGGCTAAGTTGAGAGAGTGGGTTTCAGTGGAAAGCTTTCACACGACCAGAGAAAGACTCTTTATGCTCAGCAGTGTTACCTCTTTTGACCTAGGGTAGCAGATGTGGAATAGACTTTGTGTGATGCTGTGGTTAGTTTACTGTTGCATGTCTGGGTATCCCTTCACAACACAAAGGTGCCTTTGAAATAACTCTTTGGCCATAAAGTTTGTTTAACACATATTTCAACCTATGTTGCCAATGTTCCTGGGAGTCTGGAGTAATTATGCAATAAGATAGAGAACTCCATGTATTCTGTGAGGCAACAATAGATAACTTCATTGAGGTCAATTCTATTTTCAGACCTTCAGTACACCCATTTCATTTTGGTTGATTCAACATAGCTTTTCCCTAATAGGAGCCTCTAATGCTTTTCCTACAAATTTACCTTTGTCATAGTAATAGTGGGTCTTGTTAAGAGCAAACACATAGCACGAGTTTGTTAACTTTTAAAAATCTAGAGTGAATTAAGCTTCCAGGTCAAGAGTCAGAAGTTCTTTAGAACTTTGTTTCATTGGACATGAGAGATCTGTGTTTGTGTGTGTGAATCTAAAGTATATATTGATTTATATTCACACATTCATGTGACTTGAGATGGGGCAGTTTGGCCCATGGATCTGCTAGTAAATGTTTAACAACAGATTCTCCAGGCCTCTGATTTTGTAACATTTGCTGGTTCCCATGGGGTAAATACTCCCACCATGGCTGATTTCAAGCTGTGGATGTGAAGCCATTGAACACAGAGTTAGGACTTGATGTGCAAAATCTGTTCTCCGTAGCTGGTACCAGCAGCCCCTAGCATGCTCACAGGCGCTCCACACCTCATGCCCTCAGTTTGGAGCTGGAGTCTTCCTAGACTTGATGCTGTGGTCAAAACACCTTTTGAAATGAAGTAGATCAGGGTGCTGACTGAAGCAGCCATGTGTGAATTTCTCCTCCTTAGAAAAACCTGTGTAGGACCGAGGTCTTGTTTCAGGGATTCTCAAGGATCAGGAATCTCACTAAATTCTTTATTCTTGAAATCACAAGCCAGTAGTTTGGGGGATTACAATCTTAAAACATAAGCTCAAGAGTTAGTTTAAAATTGTCATTTTATAGCAATGATCTATTGCCTTCTGCATGGGGAGAAGCTATGCTTACTTTGTTCATTCATAGAATTCTTTAGCTATGACCCTTTTCACATTTATTTATACATAACCAACAGTGCATATCTGCACTAAGGACTGCTCTTTGATGAAATCAGGGTTTCTCTGCCTTGGCACTCTTGACCTTTTGTTATGGGAACCTGTTCTGTGCATGGAAGAATGTGTAGCAGCCTCCCTGGATTCACCCACTACATTCCCAAAGCACCACTATCCCCTGCCCTTTCGTGAAAACCAAAATGTCTCCAGACATCCCAAGTGTCTCCTGTGGGCAGGGGTGTGGGGTAGCACTCCCGCTGAGAACCACTGGACTAAATTTTCACCCTTGTGCACCCTCATTCTCAGAAGGGATCGTAACTGGTTACAAGAAGTGGCTTTGCAGTGGTTGGAGCTGGCGTTCTGGGCAGGCTCAGGGCAGTTCTCCAGAACTGATCATTACCTTGTCAGGAATTTTGTGAGCTGGTGTGCTGAAAATCAAAATAGGTAAACTTGGGTGAAATAAATAATATTAAAAGCAAGACTAAAACACTGAAAACTCATCACTTCACAATTCTTTAAGTTTTGAGGTTACGTTTCCTCTTGAGGTTCTTTGTCTGTATTGCCTCTGTATGGTGGAAATACTTTATAATGGTGGGCTACCGTGCAAACCTCTAAACCCCGTGTTCAGTGAGGTCACATGGTAATTGAAATTAGCCATGGTGGGAGTCTTTATACCAGGGAAACTGGCAAATGCCTTCAACCAGGCTACCCCATGACCCCCACCCGTAGCTGGTTGTGAAAAATGTACCAGCACAACACGTGCGTTTCTGTACAACAGGCTTAAAAGTTGTCATTTTGAAAAATAGATATTATATGTCTCCCTACCAATAAAAGATAAAGGGTGTATGCCCTCCAAAGTCAAGGTCATAAAAATGGCCTTTTAATGGTAATCATCTTTTTATGTGCAATAAATCTGCTCACTAGCCAGTGTTTGGAACAGTCTACCTGGTTTGTCCTCATTCCATGGCCTCTGTTGGGATGGAAACAGGCTAGTGTGAGGTGCAGACACTCCCTGAGAGCCCGCAGGTCAAGAAGAAAGTTATTAACACGACCACGTCACACCAGCTTTTCCCCTGAGTCCGGAAGGCCGGGGATGAGGAAGGTGGTTTGGAAAAATGCAAACTAAATGAGCAAGTGCTTTTCACTTTTTTTTAGGAGTAGCCGGGAACAGACTGTGATCACATACTTGCACCAGGCACATTCATTCCTAATTTGTTTCCCCCTATGTTTTTTTTATCATTGCATAGAATTTAAGCAAATTTATTTTACTTTCTCATTGTCCTAAGTAAAGTATGAAGTGATCCCAGTGTATTTTGCCTTGGCAGACACGAGTGCCCCGCTTTGACATGTATTTCCAAGGCTGGTTGTCGAGTTGCCAGCCAGAACCTGCTTCCTGTCTAATCTGCATGGGCCACAGCTCACCAGGTACCTGCACTGGGCATGTGGGGCAGGCCTGTGGGCCCAGGAGGGGCCCTTTGAACTGAGGAAACAGGAAGCCTGGGCTCAAACAGGCCATCGCTAAGCTTTTGGTTATCCTGTCGCCTGATGGGTTGGCAGCCGGGCCTCTGACTCTCACCTTGCCGTGGGCCTCAGCCCAGGGGACTCTGGACGGTGCCTTTCCATCTCTGGCCTTCTCTGTCTCTCCCAAAGCCAAACACATGCCTTTTAGGACCATCCCTTGGCTGCCACCCTCTCTGTTCCAGTGTAACCTTTCAGATGCCTGCCAGGATGGCCCAGGGACATGTGGGCAAGTACCTATACCAAAAGAGTTCTGGTTGTGAAGAAAAATTACTTTTTCCAGAAAAAAATAATTTACCTGAGTACAGTTCACTTATGACCAAATAGCACTTCTGTAGGACGCTGTTTTATTTTATCTCATAGCTCCAAGAAGCATGTCCAATTCATGCTAAAGGCCTGGTTATTAAGTATCTAACAGAAAAGTCTCCCGAGAGCATATATTGGCAATAAAAGGGGAATATATATAATTTCTTAGGATGTTAGAATCATGATGAGAATATGAGAATCAGGTCTTGTCATACACGTAAGAGGAAGTTGCATTTTGAATCGTTAGGGACTTTCCACCTCAGTGTAGGGCTAGCCCTCTGGGGCTTGGGTCTGACATCCATTTCAAAGACATCTCAGAGGAAGCTTGGAGAAAGCCTGACATCCTATTGCCCTGTTATTTTCTGGTGTTTAGACAAAATGCAGGCTAGGAAGCCGGCCCTCTCCAAAGGTCCATCGCTGGCATGCAGATGGAGACACTCACAAGATATGTTTAAATATTTGAAAGGTAGAAGCCAAGCTAAGAGATTGTTAACTAAAATATTTTGTAGCCTCTGCTTTGACAAATCTACCTTCGCATGATCTAAAAGTCCAGGTTCAAGTTTAGAACATGGCAGTGCAATAAGATCCTACCTCTGGCATGAAGCCCACCCCTAGGTCTCTAGTCCACGTCTGTCCTGCCCTCCCAGAAACAACCTCTCCCTGACCTCTGGATGGCAGAGTTGATGTGTTAATGGTGGGAATGAAAGGAAGAATCCCTGTCAAAGCAATGAAAAATACATGATGCTAGAAGGGAAGACACCTCTTTGGAGAAGACAGTTATGATATTCGAGAAAGGCAGGTGAGGGCCACCGCCCAGGATTCTGGTGGAGTTACAGATGTTTTCTCCATACTTTGCACAGAGAAGGGAATGACACAAATGCTCCCCAATGCAAAACTATAAGACAGTCTGTGACAGAAGCCTGGCAGATCATATGGGTGCCCCAAATCTGTTAGCTCCTTGGGGTTTTCTTGACTTTTTAAAAATAAATCGTTTATTTGAATACATTTTTGCCTGGTATAATACAAATTAGAATTGGAAGAAGAGTGTGGTGCATGTCTTTGAACAACCTTGAAGTGTGAAATGCCAAGAAGCCAGGCCAGTCAAAGGCTCAGCAGTGGTTTTCATTTGGAGAAAAGACACATCTGAGCATCTACCATACCTGCATTCTGCCTTTTCTGCTGTAGTTCAGTGATTGAATAATTAACTATTTAAAAATTAAATGCCGAAGAATGTCCATCGTATTTGTATTTTTAACTGTTTTCTGAAAACTGATCAGTATTTTTAAGCTAAACTTTCTTATCAATAGACTAAAGATGTTGGTAAAAGACAATGTGACTAAAGGAATATTTAAAGCTATAAAAATAATGACATGATAATTACTCTACAGTAATTACTCTGTAATCTGAAAAGCCCATTCTTAGTTTCATTTGCTCTGTAATATGTTTCTCCTTAGAAGTGTCATAGCATTTGCTGGATTGGTAATAACACATTATAGGAACAACAGTGACTTTGCAAAAGGCCCCTTTTAAGATTTTGCCTTTTAACTCCGATTTTATGCTTTCTGTAGTTCGGATTTGAGGCTGGGTGGTCGTGGACGCTTCCTCCATCCTTTTTTCCTGGGTGAAAATACTATCCGGTAGTAAATGACATTCGAAGACTTCCTGATCCTTTTCAGAATTCTGAAATTACTCAGCCACACCCCCTCTCTCACTTTCAGAGTATGACCTGGTGTCTCCCTACGAGGTTGACCACAACGGAGACTACGTGTCCCATGAAATCATGCACCCCCAGAGGAGGAAAAGGGCGCTGGCCCAGCTCGGAGCTGACTCTCTGCACCTTCGGCTGAAAGGCTTCAGGCACGACTTCCACCTGGATCTGAAAACTTCCAGCAATCTGGTGGCGCCTGGATTTCTCGTACAGACTTTGGGGAAGGGGGGCACTAAGTCGGTGCAGACTTTCCCACCCGAGGATTTCTGTTTTTATCAAGGCTCGTTACGATCCCACAAAAATTCCTCAGTGGCTCTTTCGACCTGCCAAGGTTTGGTGAGTACAGTTGTTGCCGCCTGTTGTGAGACCGTGGGGGCAGGGATGTAGGGAAGGGAGCAAGTGACAAGATTTGGGCTCCTTCTCCCATTATTGCAGTACAGATTTCTTTGATCTCTCAAAGCAGAAGGAAAATTGCCAAGCAATGCTTTCTAAGATATTCTGGGCGCTTCCTATCCCCAATTTGGAAACAGCATCCAGGTTCCGCCTTCTGTTGTCGTTGGTCTACAACGATTGTGGCAGAGCACTGCAGTTTGAAAACTGTGCGTGAGAACTTACGGACAAGTCTGAAGACTTTGACTTCTTTGGGGATGGTTTTACTCTGACTTACTGGTTACTCTAACTTGTTGGTCACTTACTAGCACTGAAGGAATGTTTTCATCTTGAATAGAACAACAGTGTTCAACTGATTGGCGATGTGCTTGAAAGCACTTTATTTCTGTCATTCTGATGTTGATAATATATTTACAGATTAGAACATTCATTTCAAAAACAGTGGTGAATCCATGTCAGGGCAGTGCTGATCTTATTGGGCTAAAGAATCTATTAGTGCTTTCTTCATTTTCTTAATATCTGACTTAGACATTAAACATCCTTAGATGCTTCAGGTGGTCCCCTTTGCTTGGCTCCCAGAGTGAGGAGCATCTGGCCAAGTTGAGAAGGTATCTAAATCCCTCAGGCTGACCTAAGCTGAAACTTTAATGGCTTACCTTTTACTTTTCTTAGAATATTTCCATAACTTTTGGGAAGGAAATCTTAGTAGATGCTTAGATTCTTGGACACAGATTGATTAGTCAGACACAGATGAGGGAGACATGACATAAGTAGCAGAGTGAAAAGGTGTGGTCCAAACAATAAGGTCTTGATCATGTTAAAGGTTTGGCAAATAGATTTTTGAACATTTGTTACATCTCCAGAAAATGATCTAAGCCTGTCTTATTCCTTTCCCTCTTTGAAAAGAGATAATTCAGACTCTACATCTCATAAGGATTTTGTGTACGTGTATGTGAATACTGGATGCTGAAGGCGCATTCATAACCAATTCCTTAAAATACTAAATATGTGGAAATGCTATGTCCTGTTATTTTTTAAAAAAATATTAACATTCTGCTTTTTAGAGGGAATTCAGTTTGGGCTGGGCTCATATCTACTTTCTTTGGAAAGACTTTTGTTTTGAGAATGGATACAATGGGGAATAGTTAAGGGTGGGGTGGTGGTTATTTGGCACACTTGTTAAGCATAAGGACAGTGTGGTTGATTTCTCCCATGCTGTCTCAACAAAAGTAGATCTTTCTTAATGAAAGAGCTAGAACTCTTCATGTAATGCACTAAAGGGAGATATCTCTTCCTTGGCTTTCTTCAACAAAGGCTTGCTCAGACCAGAAATGGAAGCCATCTGTGTGGTAAGGAGATGTGCCATGCCCTTCAGAGCACTCTTGGATTTGTGGAGACTGAGCAAGGTGCTTTCTTCCCATTAGCCCAGCAGGGATGCAGGCTCGTGGATGCCCCTGGTCTTTGTGAGCCTAAGGCTTCCCAGTGATGGCGTGATGGCTGAGCTATGCCCTGGAGTCTGTCCCATGAATAGAGTTGGCTGACAGCAGCTTGAAATTTCTGGCTCTCTTTGAACTCAATGGGAGTTAACAGCGAAAGTTGTAAATGACAACTACATGAAAGATAAAGAAGTGAAAAGAACAGGAAAAAGACTCCTCTGGATAATAAACACTAGAATGTAATATTTTGGTGACTGCAATAGAAAGCTGTGTGCTTTCACCATGCATCTTCCAAATACATTAATTCCAACTAAAGTGATATTTTTTCTGAAGATGGTCACTACAAACATGACCTCAACTAGACTTATGAGTGTAAGATCCAGGGGCATTTGCCGTATGATAGGACAAATCAAAGGCATTTTAAAGAAGAAAAGGGGAGGATTAAGAAGTCCTCTCTCTTAGCCAGATAATAAAGTTATTGAATGGAAATGCCCCTCAAGTAGTTGCCAAGTCTGTTATTTCTTTCCTGATTGATGGTTACCCCATCTGTCCTCTTTCAGATCTGTTAACACATGAAGAAATTAGCATACCTTTTGCATTAGATGACGGTTCCTTTTTTGTTATTATTGTTCTTCTTGGTTCTTTCAGGTTCTAATTAAAGTTCCAGGTAGATCTCAGTTAAGCATTTTTTTAATTTGGTTTCTAGATGACTCAGCTATCTGATGGGAGTCAGAAGTGTGGTTCTAATTTATAGTACATACATATTCTTAGTAAATACATATTCTTAAAGAAGAAAGACAAAACTAAAATGAGCATTTTACTTTGCATCTCTTGTGAATAATGAATGTCATGTGCTTCAGAAGTGTGTCTCACTGGAACCTGTCAAAGTTGCATCCAAAGAGTGTATTGTCTGATGAGACAAGCAGGGAATAGGCAATTTTACTGAAGAGTGATAAAATAAGGACAAATATGGGTGCTAGGAGAACTGAAATGAAGATGCCTCACCCTATCTTGGTGAGAGACAGCAGCATCAGGGTAGGTTTCTGGAGGAAATATTGTCCAAGCCAAATCCTTATTGTAGAATTGGAATGTGATGCTCATGAATGGAGGAGTAACAAGCCATCTCAGGGAAGATTATGGAGACCAGTCAAGCTCATGGAATCCTTGATAACACCATCCATGACTGTTCAGAGATTAATATTTGTATATGAAGCCCAAGTATAGTAAACTAAATAAGGTCTGTAAGCCCTAAAATGACTTCTAGAGTCACTCTGACATTGCCACCAAGTATATTGATTCAAGATATTTCTCATTTTGCTAAATAAGATTAATAAAAAAAAATAGTATCTGTTATACTTATGTCTCTACCAAAATGACATAACAAATCTGTTCTGATTACCAAACACAAGCACATAAACGTGTGTCACACAGCAGGTGCTTTTCAGTACTTGTTAAATAATGGATAGAATTACTGGGTGTCTTACAGTGTAAGAAACAATGATGACAATGACAGTAGCAGAGGGAACAGTAATAAGTTACTGAATGTTATTTGCCAAATACTTGCCTAATAGCTTCCCATTTGTTATCTCACTTAGCCTAATGATAATTCTAAGAGATAGGTACTATTTTTTTAACAGCTTTATTAAGATATAATTTATATATCATAGAGTTTCACCCCTTGAAAATGTATAATTCAGTGTTTTTTTAGTATATTCCCTGACTTCTGCAAACATCACCACAATCTAATCTGAGACATTTACATCACCTCAAAAAAAAAAAAACCCAGTCCAGTCCCTCCCATTTCTCTCAAGCCCTCATCAGTCCTAGGCACCCATTAATCTGTCTTCTTTGCTTATAGATTTCCTAATCTGGCCATTTCTGATAAACGGAAGCATACGATAGGTGGTCTTTTGTGACTAGCCTCTTTCACTTAGTATACTGTGTGTTTAAGGTTCATCCATGTTGTAACATGTTTAAAGATTTCATTATTTTTATTAGTAAATAATAATCCTTTGTATACATATGCCACTTTTTTAATTTTAATGCCTATCAATTGATAGACATTGTTTGTATTTTCTTTGGTTGTGTGAATAATGTTGCTATGAACATTTGTATACAAGTTTTTGTGTAGACATAAGTTTTCATTTTTCTTGAGTATTTACCTAGAAGGGTAGTTAGTGGATCCTATGGAAACTCTAAGCTTAAACTTTTAGGAGATTCTAAACTGTTTTTCACAGTAGCTGCACCATTTTATGTCTACCCAGCAATGTATAAGGGTTCCAGTTTCTCCACATTCCAGACAACACTTGTTCTTGTCCACCTTTTTTTCTTATAGACATCCTAATGGACATAAAGTGGTGTTTCACTGTGGTTTTTATTTACCAGGTAGAGATTATTGGTTGACAATTTTTTTTGTTGTTGTTGTTTTGTTTTGTTTTGTTTTTCCTTCAGCACTTTGAATATACCATCCTACTGCCTTCTGGTTTCCATTGTTTCTGATAAGTAGTCTGCTGTTTATCTCGTAGTTTTGTTATACTTAAAGCATCGTTTTCCTGTTGCTGTTTCCAATGTGTCTTTGTCTTTCAACATTATTACTGTCAAGTGTATAGGTGTAAGTATCTTTGAGTTTATCCTTCTTGGGATTATATGAGCATCCTGAATGTTCATATTAATACTTTTCCTCAATTTGAAAAGTATGTGACCATTGTTTCTTCAAATATGTTTTTCTGCTCCTTTCTCTCTCTCCTCTCCTTTGGTACTCCCACTATTCATATGTCAGTGTGCTTAATGATGTAGCAGGTTTCTCTGAGGTTCCATTCATTTTTCTTCATTCTTTTTCCTCTGTGCTCTTTAGATTGTGTAATCTTGATTGACTGATCTGCAAGCTCACTGATTCTCTGCTGGCAGTTCAAATCTACTGTTAAGCTTCTGCAGTAAATTTTTCATTTCAGATATTGCACTTTTCAACTTCAATTTGGTTCTTTTTATAATTTCTCTTATTCTGTATTATATGAAACACTGCTATGAGGCCTTGCTTTAATTCTTTTATATAGTTTCCTTTGGTTCTTTGAACATATTTATAATAGTTGCTTTGGAGTGTTTGTCTACTAAGTTAAAATCTGGGTCCCCTCAGAAGCAGTTTCCATTGCCTCTTTCTTTTCCTGTATATGGGTCACACTTTTCTGTTTCTTTGTGTGTCTCACAATTTTCTTGCTAAATACTAAACATTATAGATAATATATTTTAGCAACCCTAGATACTTTAAGACTGACCACACACCACCACTCCAGTGCTTGTTGCTGCTGTTTTCTTTCTTACTTGTTTAGTGACTAGTTCAGTGAAGTCTGTTTTCCCTGCAGCATGCAGCCTCTAATGTTGCTTCTCAGAGAGTGCAACCTCAGGAATGTGCACGGTCTTTCAGAAAGCCTGTGCTGATCTGCTGCCTCTATTGGTACCACAGCCAGCTGTTACTCTACACTAACTGCTAGGTGATTGCTTTTTTTTTTCCCC